ATCATAATTATATCAAAAATTTTAATATTTTAATAGTTAAAAAAAAAATTGCATTGGACAAAAAATTTAAATAAAAATATTTCCTGCAAAATTTACAATAATACAAAAAATCTCTTACTCATTGTTAAAGCTATGTGCTACAAATTTTTAAAATAAATCATATTTAAATAAATTTCCCCTACTGTATTTACTAAAAATATTGTAAAGTTTTTGTAAAAAAGAGAATTTTTACATTGTAAATGATATTATATTTCAAAAGAAAAACTTAGCCTGATCCACTTTTTATTATTCATAACCTGCACCTAACTTTTCATTGTATGTATATGGTATGAATTATTATTATTATTTTTTTAAAAACATTTTTTCAATAATTAGTACACTTGTACATTTGTTGTATAACTGTATTTATCCAGATAATCAAAGAATTTTAATTTTTCACTACTGATGCTTAAAAACAGTTTTATTCGTGCATGTGACACAAATGTTGTGTATTCTATATTTTATCTTATTTCTATATTTTATGTTGTTATTATGTTGTGTATTCTATATTTTATGTTGTTATTATGTTGTGTATTCTATATTTTATCTTGTTTTGTTTTCTTTCTTTATTAAATAATGTTGTGTAAAAATTTATTTATTTGAAACTTAAAGTTTACAATTCTGACGTTTTGAAACTGGAATTTACTATTTTGATTTTTTTTAAATAATTTTAATTCCTAACTTTAATTTTTTTAAATAATATTGTTATTTTTATTGCTTATTTTTAGAGCTTCTAAGCAATATATTAAAATTGTTTTATTTATGAATTTAGAATCTGAAGACAATATTTTCTTTGTTGAAAATGAGGTTGGTTCCAAAAGACAAGCTCTGTCAGTTACTTTAGGACCAAAATATCTGAGAGAAAAAGATGTAATTACTGGAAAATATTTAGAGAACTTAGATATGACAAGCTTGCTTTCCATTTCTTTAGGCTCTAAGGAAAAGGTTTGTATTATATTTCTTGATAAAGTATTTATATTAATAAATAATTAAATATATATTAACTAATGAAGTTCAAATTAAAGTAATATGTTAAACTGATTCAAGTTCAGTTATAATAAAATTAATTATGAAGTAGGCTGCATGCGTACAGTGCAAAAAAAAATATAAACGAACCACCCTGAATAACTTTTGATCTAATGATCAGATTTTCAAGTTCTAGGACTCAATCTTAATGGTTCGAGGAGGTGTCTTCAAATATTCTAATTAATTAGGGCAAACGATATTTTTAGTTATGATATCAGTCACAAAAATGTACTTTCTCTGATAAACATGCATTTTTTTCAACAGATTCAGATTTCTCTCCAAAAATATAGGATGTAGCTGCAATCTGGGAAATATGGTTTCACTAGTTTGGTCAGTTGAGCAGTTCAAAATTTGCACCGCTTAATGTTGAATGTTTTTTATAATGTACGTTTTCAAAAAGTATAAAAACTAATCAATCAATTATTTAATAGAGTTTAAGTTCATGTGTTAGCTATCTACATTTTTCAAAGTGGTTTACTGAAAGTTGATGTGCTTTTATTTATAGTAATATAGTTGCCAATTTAACTGAGTGTCTGTTCTTAGATTGTTATAAATTTATATTAAAATGTGAAGCTTGCCGCTGAAAAGGTTTTATGAATTCAGGATGCTATAAAAACAAAGTGTTGTTAATTGCATTATAGCCACTTTGTTAATAATTTTCCATCATGCTTTTTGCAAAATGTATAAAATTCAATCAAATTAAGTTGATTGGAAATTTTTAAGTAGTTTACTATAAAATTATCATCAAATTTTTTTATATTATTATGTTAATATGTTTTGCAATAAATCTGCAGATTTTACAGTCAGTTTTATTACCAAATCGTTTCTATTTAAATTTGCAGTTTTATTTATTTCATATTTAAATTACTTATTTGATTAAAATTTTATGTCACTAATATTTTATAATTCCAAGAATATGGGAACATTTTTAAATCTATTGATCTATTACTGATAGTATATCAATTGTCTTGTTTAAAATTTTGCTGTAATTAATATTATATGCTATTACATTTGATTCTGTGCAACCTAGAAGCAACATTAAACAAAAATATTGATAGTTGATAAATTTGCTTCACACATAATTATCTCCTTAATTGCTTTTCAAGTACATCGTTTTAATATTTTTAACTCGTGAGCATTTTCTCCTTTAACTTCTTTTTGCAGTTTCAGACCTGTATATGGTTTATTTGTCTTTTAAATAAATGTATGCATTTTTATCTATTTTTTGTTTATAAAATAATTTTATATATTTATTGACAAACAGGGTGACAAACTTCAGCACAAAATTCATTTGGAATTTGATACATTAAAATCAACTAAGCAGAAAAGACTGTATTTGATGGAAAATTTGGAGCGTGCTGAGGTAAAAAATTTGTGTTTTTAACTATCATGTATTTTTTGTTGTACTTAATATTTACTTAGCTTTTAACTCTTCCACATTTTGCAGAAGCTTTCTGCATTTTTATCTCTTTTTCCTTCTTTCTGTGCCAATACGCAATCTTCTGCATTTGGAAAATCAGTAGATTAAATTTTTCTTGTGGGAAAAAAAAAGATGGTACAATAATGTGGTCTCCAAAAATTGTATGTTGTAATGAAATCAGATTACAAATAATGGAATTTTGAAAAACTGAGGAAAGAACAATAGATAACACAAATCAAGCATGGAAAATAGTCAACAAAAATTATTTAATTTTGATATAAACTGTTGTCTTAATTATGTAGCCCTAACTTAACTATTTTCCCTAACTGCAAAGATATATTATAAACTAAAGTTTACAGAGTTCAAAAGTTAAGTTGATGTTAGTATTTTTTTTAACTGACATAAATTTTTTAAACTCTCTCTTAAATTAATTGGTAATACTATAAGTTTCTGATTTTTTTTTCTTTAAAAATTTAAAAAAAATTTATTATATACAATATTTTATCTAAACTTAGTGGTGAGACAGCTCATGTATATTGTAACGTGAGACAGCTCATATATATTGTAAATTTTTCAAATTTTTAGAACTTGTCAGAATAAACTTCTGTTTCCTCTCAAACTTTATGTATTGAATGTAATATTGCAAGGGATTTTTTTTCCAAAATTTTTCTATCATATTTTCCTTTTCTGCAATGTTTTTGAATTTTGCAATTTTTATAATAATTTTCTGTCGTATTGCGATATGGTGCAGATTTATTTACTTTTGCGACAGAAGAAAATCAGCAAGATATTTTGGGAAGTACTGTAAACATGGATTTTTAAGCCAGCAATGTATTTTTTTTTCTCATAAAGATGGATAGTGCACACGTAAAGATTTTATTTTAGAACCGTCATTGAACAGTCAATTGGGTCAATTTTTTGGGTTTATGACTACTAATGTTCAAATCCATAGCTTCGTAATTTTGAACCCAATCCAGAAGACAGGGAAACTCATGGATCAATTATTGGGGGAAATTTGCCTTCGTGGAGGACTTTTTGATAGAACTAACTCGCATTTGCATTACATGGAAAGAAAAACCTCCATCAGTTAGCCTGATGACAAGGAGACTCTAACCCATAATCTGTCTACCACTGAGGATATTTTATGTTAGCACTGTGGTCAGTGCTAACATAAAATGGACATACAACTTTTAGCAGGTAGTGCTTTTCAATTATCGAGAAAAAAAAGTTGTTCCACCCTAATGCCCATTCTAGTTTTTATAACCTTGGACTCTGTCATACAGGAACAGATGTTTCGGTTAGGTGATCAGTTGAACGCAAACCACTGAAGGGATGAGTGTCTAAGTCAGCCTTACCAGTTCAAGAATAGAACCCTAAGCCTGTGGCACAGAGGCATGGAATACTTACTACCAGTCAGCTACTGGGCCACCTATATAATATCTATTCCTTGAATATATAAGTTGTTTTACTTGTTTGCATTCTCAACTAATTAGTATTTATATTTTAGGCTCTTTCTAAAATTTTGCAGCCATTTGCTGATGCTAAAACTTTAAAAGATGTTACTCTTGGTGCTCTTGAAGTATGTATGTTTAAACACGCATTTTTTAAAAAATTATTTTGATATTTACATGTTACTTAATTGTTACTTAAATGATCATTAAACTTTAATGAGGATATTATAATATGAATTGGATTTTGTTCATTTTCTATTCAAGAAAGATTTTGAAAAGTTTTGTTTATTTTTTATATAATAGTTTGATTATTTCATTTACTAAAAGTATAAATTTTGTTGACTTTAAATTATAATTTCTGTTTTCTGCTTTAGTTGTATATTGATTTTTATTTTTTGTTCAAAAATGGTTATTTCATGCCGCTTATTTTTTCTATTATTTAAAACTGCTGTAAAAAATAAATACATTGCTATGTTGGATTATTTTCTATCTAAATCAAATAGATTTATGTTTTGCAGTTACATACACATTTTCCAAAAAAATAATAATAAATGAATAATTAAATTGAAACAGTTCGATTTTGATACCTGTTTGGCTATAATAGTATATTGTAGTACTCGTTTTCTTTTCTTTTTATGCTGATAGGATATATTCCTTTAAGCTCTATGTTTTCGTTTTATAAAATTGTTATTAATTTTTAAAAGTTCACTTTTGTAATTTATTACAAATTTATTTCATGTTTTACAAAAACTAAATAATTATATATTGTATTAGATAGTTTAACCTTTGTTACATTTATTCTTAATTCCTATAAACAATGAATTTTAAATATGTGTCTAAATTTCTTATGATAATTATAGTGAAATATCTATTTTTTTGTTAAATGTTCAATACTTAAATGATATTTTTGAATGAAATCTTGAAGTCTTGCTTTAGCCTCGCTCTTTTGTTTTCAATAAAGTTTATACTTTTTTTTTTGTTTTTGTTGTAAAATTTGTGTATTTTTTTTGTTGTTTTATTTGGGATATTGTTTTTAAAAAAAAATATTATTATTTTTAATACAGTGCTTCAAGTGCAATTCTCAGTTTTCCAAGCAAGCTGCTCATAAAAAATTGATTAAAAGAAAACTTCCACCTATTAAAAAAGCTGTTCTATCATCCAGTTATGATTCTTCTAAAGGTTAGTTTTATTTTTCTTCTTTCAATGCCAGCTAATCAGTATAATAAGATTTTAAAAAAAGGTGTTGCATTTTTTAAAATTTGATCTTTCATTCTCATTTTTTAAAAATTATTAAATTTTAATGGAAATTAGAAATTTTATTTGTCAGTTTATACAAATTTAAAGTTGTAATCAACATCTATAAATAACTGAAATATTTGTAAAATCATAATATTTAGTTTTGATATTTTCTAATTGTCAGATGTATTGTTTTATTTCATTAAAAATATAAATTTTAGTTAATTTTTTAGTTATCTTGCTAAAGCTCAGAAGGAATTTTAGTTATCTTTAAAGCATAAATCTTCATAATCAAAATCTTGACTAATAGTTCAATCAAATCCAAAATTTATTGATGAAAGGGAGAATTTTTCTATAAAATCTGATGTTCTTTAATTAAAGGAAGTATTAGAAAATATATCAATGTATTATTATAAATGATTGTGTTTTAAACTATTATAATGTGTGTCTTTAATACACAATTTTTAAAATTTTAAATATGGCAAAAAGAAATTATTAAATGATGTTCTATTCCAAAGTTATTCTAATTTTTTTTATTTAAAAAACATTGAAATTCTCTTATGAATGTTGTTTTAATTTTTCAAATTATAGTATAATTGGATTTCATTTTTTTTTTTAATTTAAAAAAAGGAATTTGAATATTATAAATGAATTAAATTATATTACTTGTATATATATATGAAAATACACACACACACACATAATTATTGAAGTTGTGATTAGAATAGAAATATTTAGTATCATTGACAAGTACCAGGATGGTACCACAATTTTAGAAGGAAAAGATGTTGTTAATAGTCTTTCAGTCTATTAGAAGTAGGTGGTCTAGATCAGTGCATCTAGATCATCTTTAGAATACTAAATGATTGACTTTTTGTAGCGGAACTTCGATTTTTTTCAATGACATTCGAGCAGATAAGCCAAAGAAAGACTACTAATTAGTTTGAAATTATTTAATGTTAAGAACAAAATTTTTTCATCATTTTATCAATATTTGTCTTAAATTTAGGTTTTAATTGCCAACAATCGTATTCACTGGTTTATATCGGCATCTACTCCAGTTCTGAATTTGTTTTTTAGTATATACATAGGCTAAAAATGAATAAAATAAGCTGAAGTTTTCGATAAAATAAATATGTAAAAGAACTGTTATAATCGCTTTGTTTGTCACTTAAATATATAATCCTTTATTTTTTATTTATTTATTTTTTTTGGTAATTTTATTTTCAATTAATAATTTTATGGTAATAGTAATACAAACTTTATAAATAAGTTTTTCATAATTTGCCTAATGTATCTCGACATATTACTGCTATTCTGCTTAATATTAAATATATATATGTATAAAATGTTTACTAGCTTCGATTTTCAAACCCAGCATGTGCTTTCTGAATTCTAAAAAACATTTTTTTTATGTATTAAATGATAACTAAATCTTTAAACTCAAGCATTTTTTTTCTTAAGTTTATTGTTAAATTTCTAAATTTTCGTTTTTTCACATTATTTTGAGTTTAATATTTCATTCTATACCTGTATATTTATTGTGATATATTTTCTTGAAGAATATGAAGAAGAAGTGGATGCTTGTCCAAATTGTGGTAATCACATTCTTGCTGAAATGGAAACTGTTCCTCTGCCTTCAGTCGCCATGCCAACTCTGGATGTAACCAAGCAACTTAATTCAACAAAGAAAACATCAGATAAATCGCCTGATGTCCTATCAACTGGTTCACCATCATCAGGGAGCATAATAGCCAGCTTGTTTTCATCTATCAAGCTTTCTCCAATTCTTAAAAGGTAGTTTTTAAAGACTTAAATAAAATTTAAGTCTTAAGTTAATTTAATCACATTCAATATTTGTTTAGTACTTTTTGTGTTAATGCATGCGAACTTTAATGTTCTTTTTTTTTCTTTTTTTATAATTCAAATGTTGTAGTCATTTGCAGTTTTCTTAAAAGTAGTCTTTTAATAAATATTATGTAAAAAATTTAAAATATCAAATGTAAAATTTAATAGTGTGACCATAGTTGAAATTCTTATATGATATAATATTTACCAATTAAAATGAGAGAAATATCAAATAATAATTATTGTTCTAGAAGTAGGAAGAAAAAAAATAAGATTACCAAAATCTTCTTATGATGTTCAGTGTTGCCACAGAACTGGGAAATCAATAAGAATAAGGAAAAGTTAAGACATTTTTATCAATGTGGCAAATGTCAGGGAATTCAATTTAAATGCCCCCCAAAAATTAGAAAAAATGAATCACTTTAAATTTGAAGAGTCCAGTGTTTTTTTCCCCCCAAAAAAAATTTAATATATTTTGTGCATAAGATTAAATCATAACTGAAAAATTAATAATGAAATTTACGCAACGGATTTCAAAAATTTAATAAAATCTGTCTTGAAAAGTCAGATTTTTTGGTTTTTTTGTTATTGAAATATTATTCGCATAAAAAAGAAAAATTAATAAATTTATTAATGAATAACTTTATTTTGTAGAAAATCTGTTCCTGTTTCAGCTAATGAACAACTAAATCAAGGTAAGTAAAATTTTAAAATAAAGCTTTCTTTAAAAATAAAAAATCTATCTAATCTTCATTTTCTGCTTTTGTGTCTTTAAACTCGGCATTCAGGGTTAACAACCATTTCCATTAAATGCACTAAAAAAACTGTTAAGTCTAATCAAAATCAGGAATAATTTGAATACCACGTGTACAAAATGAACCTCTAAAAGAGAAAAATATGTCACAAAGATATAATTTAAAATTTTTGAATAAAAAGTGTGATTCATAAGTTATTATACCCTTTAAAAATAAATTTACTAAGACAGAATAAATACATACCGGAGGACATGCAACAGATGTAACTTTTTTATATTAATAATAATAATTGTAGTATTCTTATATCTCACTATAGATAATGACCATTTAGATTAAAAATAAAGAGTCTCTTTTGTTCAGTTACATCTAAAGAATATGAGTTTGAATGATTTCTTTGGAATCCTTGCTTCCAAGTGTTTAATTGCCAATCAAGGCATTTTGTTTTTTAAAAGTTTTAAAAACTCTTTTTAAATTGAAACAATCTAATTGCCATTAAAATGACATTGCATAGATGGGGTGGCATACGAGACTTTGTCGATCCTTATGATGGGAGGTTTATTATAATGGTAGTTGTACTGAAGAGTTTGAACTGTATAATTTTATAAACACATATATTCCATAAAAATAAAGCCTTAGTACTAAATTCAGTACTATTTGATACAATTATCGCCTGACACCAATGACTTTTACGACAAATATTTTTTACGAAATTCTGTATTATTTCCTAAAATTCTAAATTATTTTTTGCTCGTAACACTAAAAACAGATTACTGACAGGAAGTACTGGACTGTCCCCTGAACTTTTTTTCTTCATTTTTAACTATCTTTTTGACAGTTTTTGGACAAGCCTTTATTTTTATTTATTCCTGGAGAATTTTATTTATTTGTTCGATAATTAAATTGAAAGCAATATTTCTAAAACTTTTTTAAACTCTGATTGTTTCTCTTTATACAATTAATTGCATTGGAGTTTATTTTATTGTTTAGAAAAATGTAACTAGCAAAATGTTAATTAAATGCTCAATTTTTCCTGAAAGTATTTAAGAGTATTTATCCCAGTTATTAAATAGTTATTCAACTATGGTAAGGCAACACTGCTGGATCGCTTTATTTATGAATCACTGTTAATACTTTTTTAGTGACTCATAAAAGATAAGAGCAAAGTATTTTTGGTATGCAATCATATTGCTCTCTATATGAAATATATTTTTTCTTAAAACAAACTAAACAAACTTAAAACAAACAAATTTAGTAGGCCACTCTACATAGTTAGCAAGAATGATGTCAATATCTACTTTTCATGCAAAGCAATGCAATTTTTATTTTTAAAAAAATTCTGAGTTCATGATTTATTTTTAAAGTATTTAGTAAAGATTATTATAATTTTTTGAATAATTTATTTTTATTGCTAGCATTTAAGTAACTTTTTTGTTAAGTAAAAATTTTAACTAAACATGCACTGTGACCTTCAATCTACTAAAGTGTGTCTTACAACCAAATATGCTTATCAACCAGACCTTATTTTTAATTTTCCCCTTACCTTTTATTTCATTTATAAGTATAAATTTAAAGAAATAATTTTTCAAAATATATACTGACTGCATTTTTCCTCTTATAGAGACTGAGTCTGTAAAGGTAGAAAATTCTGCAGATCAGATTGAAAGTGACCTTTCTTCTGAATCATACATGCGAAGAAACTCTAGCGATATCACCATCATAAGTAATCCCAGTTTAAACAGTATTACTGTTATGCAAGATACATCAACATCCATGGAAATTAACCTCAATACCATCGCTGAAATGGATTCTCAAGCTTCTTTGTAAGAAATATTTAAGCTTAATAATTTCAATATTTTTTCTTTTTAGCTTCAAAGAGATTTTTTATTTTAAATTTTATATATTTATTAAAAAAAAATTTTCCTGTATCTATAATTGCTTTTGTGTTTAATAATAGCTTCAACATGTTTTTTTTTTTAGCTGTTATTTATTTTCTATGACAATTTTATCTTTTGTGAGAATGTGTGATGTACGTGTAATCATGTGTTAATGTGAGATCACCCATTGCTAAAAGTTTGGTAATAACAATTAATTTTAATTTGGTTTTATTTTTATTTGAATAGGTATTTTTGTTGGGTTTTTTTTATGAAATTTAGTTTCACGTTTCTACTTTATTTGTATTCTTACTGACTAACACAAATTACTATTTTCAGGGATGAGATTTTTCCGCTTTTTAGCGGATTTCCACCTTTTTCGCCTTTCTCTCTCAGAATTTCAAACTCCGATTCTCTAAAAGTTTTTTTTTTAAAATAAATATTCCGCTTTTTCTGAAAATTCAGCTGTTGAAATAAAATAATTATATTTATTACCGATTTTCAAAGATAAATAGCAAATTCAAACTACATAGCTGCCAACCCTTCCACATATCTATTTATTTTAGCTATTTCCTCCATTTTTACGCACAGAAAATAAGATTTTTCGTATTTTTACCTCTTGCTAGATAGTTTGTATTTTCGTAATCCAGACATCGCTGCATCTTAGTATCAAACATCAATTTTCGTATTTACCTGATTTAAAAGTTGCAAGTTGTGATTCTTATTCAGAGGATTCCAATATTGTACGTTGCAATTCTTATTTACAAGATTTAAAAATACATACAATATTACGATTTGTATGTATTTTTATTAACTATTCGTGTGTAGCGAATATTCAAACTGTAGTCTGAATATTCAAACGAGTTTAAAATCCGATGTCGCGATTCGTTTTTGCGGTTGTAATATCCAACATCTATTTTTGCATTTACACATGATTTAAAAATTAGGCTTCATATTTACCCATTTAGAAATTATGCATCATAATTCATATTTACGCGATCTGAAAATTACGCATCATGACTTGTATTTTCACATTTTTGAAATCCAATATTGAGTTTCATTTACGCGATTTAAATATTCTGATTTATATTCACACGATTTTAAAATCCTTTATCGCGATTCTTGTAAAAAGTAAGTTTTTTTTCTTGAATTAGTTACTATAAATGTAGCAGTTTTTCTATAGACAATTATTGCTAGATGTAGGCATTACAGCAATAGCGAAATTAGATGAGAATATGTTACTCATATTTTTGCTCTAAATCACGTAAGATTTACTCGCATGAAATTCAGCTTTTTTGCCTTTTGGCCAATCTCATCTCAGTGTTTTATATAATATTGTATCAGTGAAAATGAACTATTATTTTATCTTTTTTTTTCACAAATGAAAGTTAAGGTGAAGTTGGAAAAATTCTAAATAGTTGCATGTTCAGTTTTTGAATATTGCATCCATTTGTCCAATAGAATTTTGAACATCAATTTATATTAAAATTTTATTGCATTTATAAAAGTGCTTTGAAAAATTCTGTCACCAATTTTTAAAATAAATAAATAAGCACATTTAGTTTCAGTCTTTTTTTTCTTTAACTCCATGTTTGTTTTAACTTTCTGCATAATATATAGTTTTTTATTACCATTATATAGTTATATTATTTATTTTTTTATTTAAAAAAAATAGATTTGTAGTGTATTAAGAGATCTTAATATGCTGTCTTAGTATCACACTAGGTGGATTTTATCCTTGATTGTATTAAGCTAGAATGATTATTTTCTAGAGTTATAAAAAAACTTTATTAATAACTTCATAATATATCATAAATAAATTTGATAATAAGTGTACGTGATGACAAGGGCGTACGCAAGGGAGGGGTTTAAACACCACCCTTGAACTCAGACAAAATGGCAAAAATAAAAATTTTAGTAGAAATTATGCGGGCTATTCTTTTTTAAGATTATATATTTTTATTTGCCTTATGCTTACTTTTTTTTCTCACGGTATTTCTCACTGAAAAAACATTTACTATAATAGAGATGTACTTTTGAAACCAAATTCTCGTGTTACTGTTACGGGCTGGTTCCTTTCTGTCCTGCCAGTCGCGATAGTTTCCGAGATTGGCAGTCATTCGCGAAGTCTTTACGCGATGATTCTGGAATCCTAGACGTTCTGTCGTCTTTGAGACAATTCGAGAATTTTGGAGATACAGTGAAAAATTATATAAAAGGGGGGACGGAGTACAGTGGAGTTAGTTAGTCAGAATAAGAGTTATCACTGCCGCTTGTCTTTCGGAGCTCGTCGCTAAATCTGTTTAGTTTTGTCTTAACAAAAAGTTAATTCAATCGCCGCACCCGTCGTCGCCACTATTTCGACTAGTGAAGAAATCTGTAACAATACCATTGGAGATATTGTGCTCGTTAAAGTTATTCATTCCAGCTCGAAACTTTGAGACCATAACATAGCGGATATTTCTATGCCAATAAATATATGTATATATTTGCTGTTCTTGGATCTTTAGGATGCCAAAACGCAAGAATTTAACAATTTTTAACCATTTTGAGAAAAAATCACGACCTGAAATTAGTGAGGTGACAGCATCTGGTACTAATGTAAGTTTTTCTATTGAACAGAAATGTTATACTTCCGTTGAAGAAAACGTTTCTAGCATAACAAAATCTGTCGAATGTGAAAGTGGCCCTCAAAGTGTTACTTCCCACCCATAGGACATTGGACTTTTTTCAGAAGATATTACATGCGAGAAGATATTACACTATGTTCTTAAACTTAAAAAATCAAATTAAAATTTAACTAAACAATGCTGTCTAAATAAAAAGTCAAAATGGTTAGCTGTCTAAATTAGGGAAATAATTGTGCTTTATTACATACTCAAATTTCTTTTAGTAATTTCAGAAAATTATGAACACCCCCCTTGAAAAAATTCTGTGTACGCCACTGCGTGATGATGATTATAACATACTGACTGCATTTTAATATTTATAATCTTCTGAGACTTCATAAATATTCAATTGCAGTCAGAATCTTTTACATTTATAAATCTTGAAATAAAAATAAATCAAGAATGTGACACTTGGAACAAAATAAATCTTTTGTCTCGAAATTAATCAATTTCCACTTTGAGAACTACAAACTTAAATTTAATTTTTAAAAGCCTAAATTCTTTTACTAAACATTAGCCTCTCTTAATGCTTTTTTTACCTTTTTTAATACACTTTCAATCTTGATTAATACCCTTAAATCCTATTTTATTATTATTACTTAATTGTCCACATGACAAAAATGCATCATTTGTGTATTGCAGTGAATAATTGATTATTTAGAAAATTGGGCATTTGGTCTATGACAATGCAAATAATAAGTAGCGGATATCTGTTAATAATCATAATTCTTTAATTAAAGTTTGGTGATTCTAATTTTTCTTTTTTATCTTCGCTAAATTTCCTTGTTTTATCTTCCATCAATTGTTTTTCTTCATTTTATCATTCATTATGAAGTATTCAAGAGTTCAATTAATCAATTTAAATTCACTTCAGTTTTTTGCTATTATTTGTACCATTTATAAGCATAATGTGATATATGCTTAATTTGTTTAAGCATACTTTCTGTAGAATTACTCTATAAAAGTATAGTACACTATTTCATGGGATGATTGATCTAATATTATGTTACATAGCGTTATAATATAGTGTACATAACGTCTAATATAGTGTTATATATGTTATTTATATTTTTGAAATATGAGCTGTTTTACAGGTCCCCAACCACATCACAAGGCCACGTAACTAAGAGAGCAAAAGATCTCACGGAATCTCAAGAGGTTTTTGAAGGAAAAATAATGAGTTAGTTTGTTTTGTTTTTCTTGTCCCATCTGTATGTTTGATTATTTTTGATTCTATTAATTGCTGTTGCATATTTCTTAAATTTCAAAATAATCAATGAAATTAAGTATTATGATAGGAATTCAAGCCTTTTCTTTTAAGGAGTAGTGCATGTTTCACAATTTCTGTATTCAGTTTTTATTTTTGCTACAAATTAGATTACTTTCTTATTACATAATTTTAAAAATGAAGTATGGTTTTTCTCGAAAACTTTTAGTATTTTAAACATGAAATATCTGCAGTTTTCTTCTCTTTGCTCATTTACTTTAAACATCGTATACAAGCTAATTGAGCAGAATAAATCAATTAGATATTTAAAATAATATAGTTTTCTAGTTTAAAAGTAACCTATATTGTAGTTTTAATGTTATTAGAATAGGGTTAGTTTCACTCAAAAAGATTTCTATAAATTTAATATAGGCAAATACTTCATTTTCTTATTTGATTGTCCTTCTTAGTTAGTTACAGGTATACAGAGTTTAGCCTCAATTATACTAAAATTAGGCTATTCATCAGTGTTAATAGAATTGAAGTTAAGTATAATTGTCGAAAAACAGTTTGAAATAAAGAATCTTTATTTTTCAGTCGAAACAAAGTGCAATAAATATTATTCGTTCTAAAATAAAATATTATTCAAATATTATTCGTAATAAAATATTATTCTTTCTAAAATATTTTTAATTTTTTTAAAAAAAGAAATTGCTATTTTTGTTCTAAAAATTTTATTTTTGCAGATGAACGTAATGAAGAAAAGAACAAGTATGAGGCTGCTAATGGTGAAGAACATGGTGATTATTATTCCTTCACAGAAAGTTTAGCAGATGAAACTAAGGACTTTAACGACCCTAATGAAGTTGTATCTAGTGGAACAGAAAATTATCAATCTCCTGTTAAGGTTAAAAGGACTTCAGTTCATTCTGCTGAATTAGATGAGAGTACCCAATTAATAAATATATTGGGTGAAAAAACAACAGTTACACATGACATGTTTTCTGAACTAAATCATCGTTTGAAACTACATTTAGAAATAAATGTCTTTGGAAAAGAGGAAGAATTTCAAGCATGCTTACAGGTTTTTATTGTTTAATAAATTTTATTTAAAAATACTCTATGCATGTTATTGAAAATATAAAGAAATATTTGGAAATTATGAATGCTATGTGTTTAAATACTATTGGTGGGGAACATAATTATGCTCCTCACTCCTATCTTTAATAGTTAGTATATCTGGAATAAAATATTTTAATAAGAACTTATTTGAATTTTACAACAACATTATTTTTTTTGTAATTGATTATCTTACGTATCAATAATCACTTTTATTTAGTTATAAAAAAGTAATCACTGTTAAGAGACCATAATTATAGTGTCCATATAGTGTTTTACATATTCATATATTCATCATCACAAATAAAAGTACATAAATAGACATGCTATAGTTTCAGTTCTAAGAACAAGAATCAACACAAAATGGCTGAATAAAAAGAGAGATAAATATGAATAGCCTATAAGAAAAAGGGGAATTTGTTGTATAAGATAAAGAAAGGAGATAACAAAGCAGATGTGTGTTTGGGTGAGATGCCCAGGAGTGTAAGATGTAGAAATTAAATTAAAATACAATTCCAAACATAAGGAATGAGTATGATACCATAAATTCCATTAACTAAATTATTAGAAGTTTTCAAAATATGATATGATTCCCAGAAGTCGAGGTCAGTTGCTAAAGAACCGTATTGAATGATTTTATCAGTCAAGAACTCAAATCTATGATTAAAATTTTTAACTATATACGTTTATGGAAGATTATTTAATATCTTGATTTTGGATATATCTTTCATGTTGAAGTTTAATGGTACCAATATACATGAAGTTAAAGGTTGACCAATATACACACTGGTAAGGAATTTAGTAAATACCCCAGCTGTTAATATCAGCAATAAGTCAGTAAAATTCTGTTTCTTTACAGGGAAGAAAGTTACTTTATACTCAAATTTAATAAGAAGCTTAGTTACTTATGGACTGATTCTTTAAAGGATAAACAATCAAAAGATTAATTTCGTAAAATTGTTTAATTATTTTCTGTAGATAGAATCAATAATATTAGAAGAAAATGCACGATCATCAGAGGTAGCTTTAAGATTAAATAGAAAGTTATTCATCTGGGAGATTAGAATTATAGCAAATTTTAAAGGCACATGGTAAGCAAACATGCAAAAGAAAGCTATATTTTGATTAGGGGGATGAGATGAAGGGAGAGTGAAACCTTAAGCAATATTTTTTTAAAAAAAAGTAGTCAGAAATTCTTTCCAATTACGAGTAAAAAAAGTATCAAAGAAAGGTAAATATATTTTTTTTTTTTCAAACATGAACTAAATGCAAGAATCCATAATATTAAGAACACCATCAATGTCAGCCTTATTAATTGATAGTCCTATATAGTCATAACAAAAGTTTTTGTCTAGAATAATATTTTCAACTCAATTTTTTTTTGTGCAATATTATTTAAGTCAAAAAAACATCTTAACACATTTATTGTTTGGTCCAGATAAATTCCACCTTAGACATAATTTATTGTCAATGTATTATAATTAATATTGTTATCTAAAAAATATTGTTTTGATATTTCAGACTTCAATAGTTCCTTTAACAACTGGGGATGAATTCCAGGGATTGTTTGCTCTATCTTCCCATAAACTATACATAATCAAATTCCTACCACTTTATGACTTATGCATCCAGCAAAAGTAAGCAAAACTGCCTTTAACCTATTTTTGAAATGTTTTAATTTTTCAGAACTAGCGATAAAAGCATTTTTAATTAATTTTTCTATTCGCATATTTTCATATTTTACTTATTCTGACTTGAAATATATATATATATGTAATTTTGGTATTAAATTCAGCTGTCTAAAAGTAATATATAAAAATATTAACTAAACTTTATTAAATTATAGCTGCTGACGCTAATGGATTTTTATGTCGACTACTTGATTTTGTCAATTTTTCATGGTTTATATAAAAAAAATTCCTAGGTTTTACATTTGTACTACTAGATTTCGTCAATTTTCCTGGTTGTTGTTTTCTTTTTATTTCATTTAATTCATTAATCATATTTCAATTCAATTTCAATAATTATAGAAATTGAACTATTGTGATGAAGTACCAAATTATCAATAAAGTGGGGAAATGTACGGAAAAAGAAAAGAAAATGTTTAAAAAAATGATATCATCATTCATTAATCATATTTCAGGAGAATTTTTTTTAACTGGGTTTTTAACATAAAAAAAGTAATTTGATTTTTTGGACAGTTTTGGTTTTAATTGAAAACTTATAAGAACCCTGAGAATTTCTTCAACACTTTGACACTTATCACACTCACTAGTTAAGTGTGATGCCATTGTCTAAAATATTATTCAACCCAATTTTTCTCTTTCTATGCATCTTTCTTCTTTTTTTTTTTTTTTTTTCTAAAATGTTGTTCAACCCAATTTTTGTCTTTCTATGTGACTTTTTTTCCTTTCTTATTTCCACAAAATTGTTGTTTTGGTAGTAGATAGTGACAGTGTATAACATTAACCTGAATTATTAAAAAATGCCTTGGATGAAGTAATGATTTTGCCCTAAACATTTACCCAGCAGAATTTTAACTAATTTAATCAATATGTGTGTATAACTGTTAGGCCAGAAAAAAATTATTTATATACATTCAAATGCATCTAACTTAAAAAATATGTGTTACAACATAAGAAATTACTACATATATATTTATTTAATTATATTTATACAATTCACAAGCATCTTTAGGTTTGAAAATATGCTGTAAGCTGTTTGTATTTTCGAAAAATTTCTTTAGAAATCGCAAAATTAATAAGTTATTAAAATAAAATTGTAAAAAATTAAAATTTAATATTAATAGCTATTTAAATAAAAAAAATCATAAAAATCTGACTTAAAAAATCAAATTAGTCTGATTTTTTATTGAAAGTCAACACTGGAAAAATAGAATATTGCACTATACCTATAAATTCTGAAGGTGCCAGTGTGACCCTTCCCAGATTGTTTGTGTGTAGAAGGACATTTATATAATCATAATTTGTTTATTGAAAAAGATATCATGGACTTGATCACTAAATATTTAATAGCATTTTACATGATTTAATTAACAAAAATATTTGGTTAAACAGAACTCTGAATTTTCAATTATACTAATACATTTGTTTCATAGATGATTGAGTTTCCTTTTATATAAATAATGAGTAGAAATTTGTTAAAATGCTCTCGTTTTTTTTTTTTTTTTTTTTTTTTTTTTTTTTTTTTTTTTTTTTTAATGTGCCTTATACCTAAACCTACATGAAATAATGAGATATATAGCAAAATACATGCTGACCCATTCCATTTTGAACTTAGAATAAGTTTAATGTTCTGTGTATATTTTTCTATAAGGCTAACAGATGAATAATTAAATAAGCATTTAAAATCAAATTGTGAAGAGTCAGAAATTATTCAAAAAATTCCAGCTTTCAAAAAATTATTTTTTGAATTACATAGCAACAAATATTAAGAGGGGGAAAATTGCCCAATTCATCCTTCAACTATTAAAACAACAACTTCATTTCTTTTTTTTAAAAAATAGGAATTTTTGTTTCAATAAGAATTGTATCTTATTTATAAAAAGAATCTAAGATATTTAAATAATAAGATTTTTTAAAAGACTTAATTTTTGAGGATTTTTTTTTTTCTGTTTGATTATTTCTGAGCTTAAAAATATACTTTTTCTAGTGAACCAGTTGATAAAGCTATTCAAATAATCCATTCCTGTCCACTCAATCAACTGAAGCAAGTGAAAGTTGTTCTTGGAAATCAAGGGTTATCTGTTGCTTGTGGATCATCTGTGTTCACTTTATTAATAAGAGATGCTGACATATGTAATTGTTTCTCTTCTCTCTTGACGGGTAAGGAAGTTCTTTGTTAAAAACAATTTTTTATTATTGTTATTTTATCAATTTTATTTGCATTTTCATTTATTTAATATTTATAAAGTGGCTGATTTGGACCTGAGAAAAGGATAAATTGATAAATATAAAATAAGTAGATGTTGAAAAAAATTCTGTCAATTAGTTTATAATAAATATTCATTGTTGCAGAAATGATACATGATAAACAGTTTGAATTTGGCAAAGTAGAGTTCTTTTCATCTACCAGAGAGACTTTGAAGCAATTGCAAAGTTCAGTCTTTTCATCAGTAACAGAATCTGATGAAGTGCCAGAAGTGTTATTGCACCTCTTTGCATTTTGGTGGGACTGTTCTGTTCATGGTAAGTTACTTGTTTCATATGAACATTAATTCTTAATGTGATGAGTTTTTTTTTTTTTTATCTAAAAAATGTTTCTCTTGCTGAAATACTGCTTGTATGTACAAGATGACATTTAATGAGCTATATAAAATTAAAAATAAAATTTTTAAAATTTGCCGAGTTAAAAATGTTTTATTAACAATCAGATTTATTTTAAACTCGTTCAATATACTTGCCATAAATGATGTGCTGGGTATCCGTGCACCTGGAAAGTCATGAATGTCAGTGTTGAACAAAATTTGTCATGAAATCTCATGATTTTAACTATTTTTTTTAAAAAAGTCATGGATTTAGATTGCCGAAAAATCAAATTTTTAAAAATTTTTCCCCCCAATTTTATTTTGTCCCGATTATCTGAATTCATAACAAAATCATCACTCACAGTCATATTTTATTAGAATATAAATGTTTTTATCATGTTCTTTAAAAATATATGGTGTTCTTTCAAAAAATGAAAGAAAAAACATAATTTCTAGAGCGAATTATCTTTTAAACTTCTGTGATTAAAGAATTTTTATTATTTTATCAATTTAAAATTCTAACTGAAGCAAACCAGTTGTTGCCGAATTTTTTTTATTCCGAAAGGAAAACAGAAAAATTAGGAGTATTTCTTTCCTTTCCGATGAACAGGATTCTGCGGGGGGGGAAAGAGAAGAAAAATTTATTTTTTGCTTTTCTATTTTTTTTCAGCTATTTTATTGTTTCAATTCTTTCTTTACTCTGTTTTTTAAATTTAAAATCTATAAATATGAAGATGCATAGTATATCAGTTTTGGTTATACCTATCATTTTAATTAATGTTATAGTAATGCTTTTTTAAATTTATTGTTGTGTTTTTGTCAGAGAAAATAGTAACTTTGTTAAGTCATGAAAAATTCTTGGAATTAGTCATGGAAAATCATGAAAAGTCATAAATTTTAAAATCTAAAATGTAACAGATACCCTAGATGTGGCACAGCGCGATTAAGAGATTCTCCAAAGCTTATATCAGTGTCAAGATCTAGATGCTTTTGATCAGCACTTTAAAATGCTGTATTTTAAATATTTTTGCAAAGAAATGAGTAATAATAACATGAGTGTGAATGTTTAAAATAATCCCAACACGCTTTGTAATCCATCCCCAAGCTTCTACTGTATCTTGTTGCTGGTTCAAAAGATATCAAAGTTTTTGTTTTTATTTTTTTTAACACATATTTTCCTGGAAGAAGATATTTTCTGGTGGTTATATCTCTAATTTATCCAGTGATTGGAAAAGTTCTTACCTGGTCTAAATTGCATCAAACAGGAAAATTCAACATAATATATGCCCAGTAAATTTTTTCTTCTTCTTTCACCAGAAAAATTTTTAGTTTTCCAAACAATGCATTCAAAACTCATAGTACAGTTGAAACTTGCTAACTCTAACTTTTGTTTCACAAATTCGCAAATTTTTCGATAGCTCGAAAGAGAAAAATTTTCTTTTAACAATTACTTTGTGCTTAACACTTAGAAAAAACTTCCATTGATAATTTTTTTATGATTCCCTGAACAATTCAAATTTTTTGCAACAAATAGAAAAGCTTTTTTAAATANAAAAAAAAAAAAAAAAAAAATTCTTGAGATCAAAAAATTTCAAAAATGAAAAGCTATTTAAAAGTATGCTAGGGAAGCCCTACATAAACTGTAAAATAAAAGGATGCAATGTCCTCAAAGTTTTTAAAGGGACTATAACAAAATAGATAATAAAGACATGGACTAATGCAGGGGTGTCCAACTCAAAAGCTAACTTGGGCCAAATAAACAGTGCTTAACTTTGGGTGGGCCGCAAAAAAAAAAAAAAAAATCAATGTTCATAGAAACATATATTTTTATTTTGAATTCTAATAAGCATATATAAAGTTAAATTATTGTTTAGGTCCTGATACTTGACATCTCTTCTCGGCTATTATCTTTTCTATTTTGGGAGAAATTTTATTGGCTGAGACTACTTTCAAAATTGACCCAACGTGACCGTTATTAATGCGGTTTCGGACAGGAGATTTATTTCCATTCATAACAGAAAATAATTGCTCTCACTGATAAGTACTTCCAAACATGGAAATAATTTCATACTCAAATTTTCGAGTATTTTCAAACCTTGCTGGCAAATATTCGTGAAATTCAGGCACACCCACTTCAATGAATTTTGCCTTCAAATTTGAGTCGCACTGAATCTCAATCACTTCCATTTGCATATAACTGGGTATTAGTCTATATTTATTGAGAAAATCGTTGAAAACAAACAAAATTTGTCTTCCAAGGAATTAAAAACTTTAAACCTTGTTTCAAATTCTGTTCTAAGATTTTGAATTTTTTTCTGCGTATTTTTGATACGATGCAGTATCATCTAAACTAGATTTGTTCTTGTTGCACGTTGGAAAGTGCGTTAAATCTTCATTTTTCAGTTGCCTCTCCCAAAGAAATAGTTTACATGTGAATGCTTTAATTATGTCAAACATGTTCGTAATGATCTGATCCTTGCCTTGTAACAATAAATTTAGATCGGATAAGTGTTTGGTTATATCAACCATAAAAGATAAATCTTGCAACCATATCTGATCGGAGAACAAGCTTGTATCTTGATTATAGTTTGTAAAAACTTACATATTTTTTCTTTCAAATCCCAGAATTGATTGAGAACCTTGGAGCAAGATAACCAACTTACCTTGCTATAATAGGATAAACCTGATTATGTACTATCTAATTGATAGCTTAGTGTGAAACGGACTCCATTTCAGCCAATTAGAATTTTACATTTTCGCGCGGACAATTTAAAATGATCCGTATAGTTTATAAATGAAGTATATTATAGTTTAATATGCTGGTTTCGTTTCTAATTCACATTTCTATTTTATTTTTACTTTGCTTCGGATGTATTGACTGGGCCGCAAAAATGTTCTTCTCGGGCCGCGAGTTTGACACCCCTGGACTAATGTGATGTGAATGATTTGCATTGATTGATTGAATATTTGTTAAAAGAGATTTTACCAACACTAATAGCCTTCATCCCTATTCACTGATGATCACCAACCCTCAAAGTTTACTATGTAATCAGCAAAAATTGCTTAAAATTTGAATTTTTTTTTTTTTTAGTTTATTATTTTTATTTATCAGAATTTTTTACTTTCCTGAAGCCTTAAATTGAACATGAAAAATTGGTTAAATATTTAGAGTGAATCAATAGCAAAATGACAAGAAAATAGTTCACAGATAAAAGATAATCACAATATTGCCATGTAAGGTGGTCTTTCTACACTTAGGGAGGGTAAGAGACTGATAGAGACAAAGGAATTTGGAATCACAAAAGAAGGAATATGTTATAAATCAAATCTTTGACAGAAAAATTGTAACACAGACTATTGCACTGGGCAATGAAATTTCTACTGCCTTTCTACATATCCAAGCAATATTTCCTGGAAGCCCCTTCTTGTGATTTCTTAAATAAGGATCGGTTTCTTAAATGAAAGGGACATAAGGATTTTGTAACTAGTAGTTTGAATGTAGAATGTTTGAGCTTTCACAACAATTACTTCTTACAAATCAATGGTCAAGGAATTGTGCATTGCTGAAGGAAAATTTATTGAGTTTTTGAAATCAAAGACCAAACGCTATCCACAATTGGCAATTCGATGTTTGTCGATGCCTACAAACAGCGTGGAAGCAAAAAGATCATTTTCTAAGTATAAAAATTTATTAAGTGATGAAAGACGAAGCATAAATGAGAATAATCTGACAATGTACAATACTTTGTACCAAAATTCTGTTCATTTAAATAAAAATATTAATATTGCTTGAAATTGAAAGAAATACTTATGTTGTATATTTTCCAAGCTTCTTTTTATTATTTGCGCTATTTCTGTCTTTTGCATCATTTATATAGAGAGTTTTTTAATGTTCAGAATCTGCGTAATTTTCAAAATTTCCCCCGAATTTCAAGTCTTTTTTCCCGCGACAAACTTGCAGCCCTAGTTGTCAGTTCAAAATGGCTTACAAATAGAAATTTAATTATGGATAGTACCATTCGAATTGAATAATGGATAATTCAATTTTCATTAATTATAGAAATTGAACTATTGTGATGAAGTACCAAATTATCAATAAAGTGGGAAAATGTACGGAAAAAGAAAAGAAAATGTTTAAAAAAATTCAAATTTTTGAGCAGAAACTGTCAATGATTTTTAAAAATTAAAGTAATGTTATTCTACAAAATAAAGCTTCTGGTTCATTATCACAAGAAAAAGATGAAGGAAGTACGAAATTTTATTGATTTGTTGTGGATCCTTTAAGAAAATGTGTAGAAAGTCAGTCCAATTTGTGGGCTAAACACTTATTACCTACTTAGAAAGTATAATTAATAAATTGTTATACTCTTCTCCAAAACAAATAATGGAATATTTTTTTTTAAATCATCAATCTCTTGTGCATCTTACATATTTTAGCAAAAATATTGTTTTGCTTTCTTAAGTGTGCAAAAAAAAACTTTTTTTTATATATTCTACTGTTTTTATTGCATAATTTTAGATAACTCAAATTTCTTTTCTACCTTTAAGTTCAAGATATCAATGTTTGACTGCACTTAAAATGTTGAAGTAAATGACTTTTATTTTGGTTAAATGCTCTGCTTATCAGGTCATTGCATAAGTTCATAGCTAAACTGAAATGCATCAAACAAAAAAGATAAAATGAATGTTTATGTGTCCCATGAGATTTACAATCTTGATAATAATGATTTTGTTTGATTATTTAAAACAATTTACTTTCAGAGAAGGACTCAAGCCACCCAGTTTGTATTATCATCACCAGTAATGATATATTTGTTGCGAGGATATTGTACAAAAAACAAGAATCATGCACAGATCTGAATAATTTATGTTTATATCACTACACTGTTTTGGATCATCAAAAAATATCTGACCTTGTTTCTTTGGTAAGTTTTTGCTTAAAGGAGTCAATCACATATAAATATCATTATTAAATATTTTCAATTAGTGTTACTATAAAATTATAATAAATATATTAAATTATTTTGTGAGTATGCATTAATTAAAAATTAACACAATTATTGTATATTTATGAGTAACTATCATTTGTAAGTCAGTTTTAATTTAAATCATCATTAATTAATTTTCTTTCATTTATGTTATTACTTCTGAATTCTTTTAAATTGTGGGATATCTATTTTTTTTCCTTCACCCCCTTCCTTCTCGCTCCCATGAAAATAACGGGGTGAGGTTTCGCCCTCTATTTCTCGTTCCCATGATATTTCTGGGCTGAAGTGTTCCGTAGTAACGCGCCAATAAGAATGAAACTAATTCATTTCTTTTGCCTGGGAAACATTTTATTTCTCATTTTACACACCAGATGGCAGTACCAGGATATTTTTAAGGTAATTTTAGATAGTTAGTTTATTTTAAACTAGATGTCAGCACTAATAAAATTTTCAGGGATTTAAAAAAATAGGCACTTTTATGACCGTTTTCTTGAAAATTAACTGATTGTTACAGGATTAAGAAAAATTATTTTTATTCATTATTTTCCATAAGTAAAATATATTTTTCTCTTTTATTTATTTATTTCTTTATTTTTTTTCATTTATTGGTTTACTTTTTTCGTCATTGTGAAAATTTGAGGCATATTTATTATTCAAGGATTAGTTAATTAATTTTTATAATTCACTGATACTGTAATTATTTAACTAATTATATTAAATCAATATTTATAACTGTTAAAAAATTATAATGAAGAATATTTAATCCAAGTATATATAATATAAAATTGAAAACATAAAATAGTGTAAATAATTTAAATTTCAAGCTATAAATATAATATTGCTTTTACATTTTTCTCTTTCATTGATTATAAAAATCTCTGAAATTCTCTATATATGTAATATTTTTCATAATGTGCAAATGTTGGCAGCCATATTATGGTTCTTGTTATTTTAATTTTTTTTTTTTTAAATTTCTTATGTATTGATACACTATTGTGTTTAATATTTTATAATGACTTATTATATCATACTTGTTTCCTGTACAAGATACAGGATTTAAAAATAAAAAAAATCTCACAAGAAGTATTTATGCTGAAAAACACAGATTAATAATTAAAAAAATTGTGTTTCTATAGAGAATTTTGTTTTTTCAAATTTTTATATTGATTCAGAAATTATACAATATAGAGTTATATATGAAATAGCATGTCAGATAAATGAACTCTAAAGTTTTTCTGGCTTATCGACACATTTCTGTGAAAATTTTCAATAACCATTATGTATAAATGTGGTTGAATTTTATTGATATTTTTACTAATATTTACTGATATATTGTACAGTAGGGAACTGATTATCCGGAACGATCGGGACCATCGCTATTCCGGATAACTGATTTTTCCGGTTTTCTGAATCGCTACAAAAAGCCGTTTTTTTATTGTTAAACCCAACTGAAAAAAAAAATTATTTGGAAATAATCTTAAAAAGAAGAAAAAACGATGAAGTAATACACTAATGATTATTTCCAAAATGATGGTAAGTTAAAAATCTTTCAAAAAAGAAAGAAAAATCCTAAAATCTTATGAGGAAAAAAACATTTTTTTTAAAAAAAATGGTGGGAAAATTTACGAATTTCGTTCCGGTTTTTTGGTTTTCCGGTTTTCTGATTTCCGGATAACGGGTTCTGTACTGTAATAACTTTACTAATATTTGTGGCTGAACTTATTATTACTTTACTAATATTTATGGCTGAATTAAAGTTTTATATAGCACTTTGGTTTATCTTCTATCGTTTAAATTCTTCTATCTTTGGGTTTCTCTTTTAATTCCTGAGATAAGAACCACCAGTTACCACTGCGAATTTCTTACTGTATTTTTATTTATTTATTTTTTTGTCAAAACATTTTATTGCACAAATGGTTCAAAATACTAATATCACATGAATTTTGATACAATTTTTACATGATTATCTTGCTGCATTATTTTTGTATTTATCAATTTTAAAATATCTTGTTTTCTGTTTTTAAATAATTCATTTTTTTGATTGATTGTTAAATGTTTCTAAAGTACTATTCAAGCCATTATTTCTTTTTCAGGAACTGAAAAATGACCTAAGGAGTATAGAAATGAATTTCATTAATGATTCTTCATCTGAAAATTGTGACTGGACAATTAAAACAGAGACAAAATCCTCACTTTTTTCACTCATTAGTGCCGTTAAAAGTCCGTGGGAGGAAATATTCAAAGTGCCTCTGCCACTTTCTAGTGAAGAAAAGTAACATTCTTTTAACAAAACAAAAAATGCCTTTCATAATGCAGTGATACTTTTTTTATTTAAAAAAAAAAAAAGAAATTTTTTTATTTGTTTCATTATTATGAACATATATTTATAAAATGCCATTTTCCTAGATATTGGTGAATATGTCTTCTGAGAAGATGCTTTTTGTGGAGAGAAAAAAAATTGGGACATATTTTATTCATAATATGTGCATGTTTGCTTAAGTATTTGTTAATTTGCTATTTTAAATTGCATGGTAATCATATACTCTTTTCTTAAATAAGACTAAATGTTCATTTCACATGGTGTTTTGTCAATTATCTAATTTGAATATATATTTATAAAAAAAAAACTATAAAGAATGTTTGGTCAAACAGCTTAAAATTGAAAAAAAGGTAATAATACTCTTTCTGATTTTTACTCACTGGGCACATAAAAAAATTAATTTTAACCAAAATATTCTCTGCTAAAGAGACAACAATTATTACTTAAATATCAAAGAAATGTGATATTTAACAAGAAATATCATATAAAATTAATTTTAACCAAATATATAAAATTAATTTTAACCAAAATATACTCTGCTAAAGAGACAACAATTATTACTTAAATATCAAAGAAATGTGATATTTAACAAGAAATAACATATAAAATTAATTTTAACCAAATATATAAAATTAATTTTAACCAAAATATACTCTGCTAAAGAGACAACAATTATTACTTAAATATCAAAGAAATGTGATATTTAACAAGAAATAAAACTTTTCAATAAATGTTTAATAATAATCTCAAGTCTGGAAACTGCCATATTACATGCTGTCTGTTCTTTTCCTGGTTTGTAGTTTTTAATTGTCTGTGTGTGTGTGTGTGTGTGTGTTTTTTTTTTTTTAAGTAAAAATTGAAAAAGTATTTAGCTATAGGACATTTTATTTTAACTTTATTACTTTACTTTTTAACATCAAGGTAAGGTTAAAGGTCTTCTTTACAAAGAAAGAGGTTTCCTCTTCTTCCATGATGAATTACCTGATTTCAATTTCGTTGTTTAGTTAATTATTAATTTTAACAAGTGTATCTAATTTTCAAAAAAAAATATTTAAATATTTTTCGTTTAATTTTATTTTAAGGGCCAAATTTAATAGGTTAGGAATATTTCGGAAATTTTCTAAAAGTTAAGATTAATAATGCTTACAAGTTTGGCATCTTGTTTTAATAGCAAACATTTCATTGAATGAAAGGAAACAAAAAAAAATCGAAAATATTAATCAGGTGCTTAATATAAAAGTATAATTTGCTATGACTTAACATAGAAAAAACAGAATCTCTTTTCAACCTGAAGAAAGCCCAGAAGCTTCATATTGCAGCATGTTTCAATGTGAAGAATTATGTAGAATTGAAGTTTTGTTTTATTATTGCAAAATAATAATTCAAAGCTCTTATAACTTGTTAAAGCAAGCAAAGCAAACAACTGTTTGTGAAATTGTATCACTTCCAGTGAAAAGAAAAGGCAATTCATTACTAATTAAATTAAATAATATCTGTCATCCTTTTAGTTTGATTTTACAAACTGCTTTTTTTTTAATCCCCTCTTAAAGAATAAAATTTTTGAATGGTAAGAATTTTCTAATTTCCTGTACTGGAAACTTTGAAATTTTTTTTTAAATAAATGGCAGCTTACATACAGAACCTTCCGGCTAACTGAAAAATACTGAAACAAACACCTATAGTAACTATAATAGTATACATTAAATAATGAGTAAAAAGAAAGTTATTTGGCACTTTTTTTACAAATAGAAAATTAAACATGTCTAATAGTATCTAAGTAGTTTTGAAATTCATTTCATTCATTTTACTATTTATATGCTTACTATATTATTTTTACTAAACTTTTATTTGTACACTTATTATTTGTACTAAAATGTATTTTTTCCTCGATTGCAATATAATTTTCATGATAAATGAATGGAAGAGTTTTGAGTAAGAAATACAGGGTGTTCCACAATATCTACTCTTATTCTATATTTTTAGAACCCTTGTCAAAAAGTAAGTCACAATTAGTATATATATATATAATAGATCACAAGTTAATATTTTACCAAGATAAAAACGGAAGCACTTTTAAATGCATGAATAAGAGGATGTTGACATCAAAATCTGTTTGACTGAATGAAAAAAATGTGATAAATAGTGAAAAAAAAGTTGGTTACGCTCTTTGTTTCCCTCACAGGGTGCGGTGAAATAAAACCTGGACAAGCAATTTTTAATGTAACTTTATTAAAAATAAATAAATTTACAAAATATAACAAATAATAANAAATGACTAAATAATGTTGCAAATTTGCTCAACATGGAAACTAATACATACAGATATATTATAATATCTTTACTAATATTCGTGGCTGAATTAAAGTTTTATACAGCACTTTGATTTCTCTTTCAATTCTTCTCTATCTTTGGGTTTTTCTTTAAATTCCTGAAATAAGAACCACCTGTTACCACTGCAAATTTCTTTCTGTATTTTTTTTTTTTTTTTTTTTTTTTNTTTTTTTTTTTTTTTTTGTCAAAGCATTTTATTGCACAAATGGTGCAAAATACTAATGTCACATGAATTTTGATACAATTTTTACATGATAATCTTGCTGCATTATTTGTATATTTATTAATTTTAAAATTTCGTGTTTTCTGTTTTTAAATAATTCATTTGATCGATTGTTAAATGTTTCTAAAGCACTATTCAAGCTATTACTTCTTTTCCAGGAACTAAAAAATGACCTAAGGAGTATAGAAATGAACTTCATTAATGAATCTTCATCTGAAAATTGTGACTGGACAATTAAAACAGAGACAAAATCCTCACTTTTTTCACTCATTAGTGCCGTTAAAAGTCCATGGGAAGAAATATTCAAAGTGCCTCTGCCACTTTCTAGTGAAGAAAAGTAACATTCTTTTTTTTAACAAAGTAAAAGAAAATGCCTTTCATAATGCAGTGATACTTTTTTTATTTTAAAAAAAAAAAGAACTTTGTTTATTTGTTTCATTATCGTGAACATATATTTATAAAATGCCATTTTCCTAGATATTGCTGAATATGTCTTCTGAGAAGATGCTTTTTTTGGAGAAAAAAAAAATTGGGACATATTTTATTCATAATATGCGCATGTTTGCTTAAGTATTGGTTAATTAGCTATTTTAAATTACATGGTAATCATATACTCTTTTCTTAAATACGACAAAATGTACATTTCACATGGTGTTTTGTCAGTTTTCTAATTTGAATATATATTTATTAAAAAAAAACTAAAGAATGTTTGGTCAAACAGCTTAAAATAGAAAAAAAGGTAAGTAAATAAAAAGTTACAAAAAATAATAACACTGTTACTCTTTCTGATTTTTACTCACTGGGCACATAAAAAAATAAATTTTTACAAAAATATACCCTGCTAAAGAGACAACAATTATTACTTAAATATCAAAGAAATGTGATATTTAACAAGAAATAAAACTTTTCAATAAATGTTTAATAATAATCTCAAGTCTGGAAACTGCCATATTACATGCTGTCTGTTCTTTTCCTGGTTTGTAGTTTTTAATTGTCTGCAAATTTTTTTTTAAGTAAAAATTGAAAAAGTATTTAGCTATATGACATTTTATTTTAGCTTTATTACTTTACTTTTTAACATCAAGGTGAGGTTAAAGGTCTTCTTTACAAAGAAAGAGGTTTCCACTTCTTCCATGATGAATTACCTGATTTCAATTTCGTTGCTTAGTTAATTATTAATTTTAACAAGTGTATCTAATTTTCAAAAAAAATATTTAAATATTTTTCGTTTTATTTTAGGTGCCAAATTTAATAGGTTAGGAATATTTTGGAAATTTTCTAAAAGTTAAGGTTATTAATATTTCTTCCAAGTTTTGCATCTTGTTTTAATAGCAAACATTTCATTGAATGAAAGAAAATTAGAAAATATTAATCAGTTGCTTAATATAAAAGTATAATTTGCTATGAGTTAACATAGAAAAAACAGAATCTCTTTTCAACCTGAAGGAAGCCCTGAAGCTACATATTGCAGCATGTTTCAATGTAAAGAATTATGTAAAATTGAAATTTTGCTTTATTATTGCAAAATAATAATTCAAAGCTCTTATAACTTGTTAAAGCAAGCAGAACAAAAAACTGTTTGTGAAATTGTATCACTTCCAGTGAAAAGAAAAAGCAATTCATTATTAATTAAATTAAATAATATCTGTCATCCTTTTAGTTTGATTTTACAAACTGCTTTTTTTTTAATCCCCTCTTAAAGAATAAAATTTTTGAATGGTAAGAATTTTCTAATTTCCTGTACTGGAAACTTTGAAATTTTTTTTTAAATAAATGGCAGCTTACATACAGAACCTTCCGGCTAACTGAAAAATACTGAAACAAACACCTATAGTAACTATAATAGTATACATTAAATAATGAGTAAAAAGAAAGTTATTTGACACTTTTTTTACAAATAGCAAATTAAACATGTCTAATAGTATCTAAGTAGTTTTGAAATTCATTTCATTCATTTTACCATTTATATGCTTACTATATTATTTTTACTAAACTTTTATTTGTACACTTATTATATGTATTAAAATATATATTTTCCTCAATCACAATATAATTTTCATGATAAATGAATGGAAGAGTTTTGAGTAAGAAATACAGGGTGTTCCACAATATCTACTCTTATTCTATATTTTTAGAACCCTTGTCAAAAAGTAAGTCACAATTAGTATATATATATATAATAGATCACAAGTTAATATTTTACCAAGATAAAAACGGAAGCACTTTTAAATGCATGAATAAGAGGATGTTGACATCAAAATCTGTTTGACTGAATGAAAAAAATGTGATAAATAGTGAAAAAAAAGTTGGTTACGCTCTTTGTTTCCCTCACAGGGTGCGGTGAAATAAAACCTGGACAAGCAATTTTTAATGTAACTTTATTAAAAATAAATAAATTTACAAAATATAACAAATAATAAAAGAAGTAGACTTATACTAATAAATAAATTTAATTGGTTTCAAAGTGGCTGCCTTTCACAGCGATGCACATTTTTATTGAAATTTTCAGCAATAGGCTGCAAGTTTATTTACTATTCTATCCCATTTATCTGTCTCATTCTATCTGTCCCATTTTATCTATCCCATTCCCACCAAAGTGATTGTTTTAGAGAGTCCAAACTTTTGTGTACAGAGAAAAAGAATGATTTCACACTATTGCTTTCCTATCTTAAAACAACTTTAAAAAATCTTTTGCTAGACATTGCAACAAAAGCCAAAAAAAAAACTATACGTAAACTGAGAAATATATTATAAACTATTTAATAACTAAAGTGCTAGACAAAAAGAGGTGAACATACAAATTTAAGAGAAATTACTTAATTTCTACTCTATGATGCAGTAACTTTTTCCAAGTTTTGTTTACCGCACCTTGTATTTTTAATTTGCATATAGTTAATGTGTATACTTCACTTCTGGCAAGAAGTCTAAAAATCTGTATAAACAATGATTATTATAAAACACACATTTTACAAAAAAAACCCTTAAAATGATGTAATTTTAACATTGGTAACTAAACATAAAGGCAAAAAAGTTAATAATGTATTTGCAATTAAAATATTCGTAGTTTGCTTAAAAATTAGCAAAGGATTTGTATTAAGTCTTATGATTTTTGTCACAAATTTTTATGAAACTGGAGAAATTTTGTGTTTAATGTTTCTACTCAATAATTAGAGCTTAATAACAATTAGAGCTTAATTTTTATTATTGTTTGTTTAAAATTTCTATAACAAGCAGTTCCTATGAAATTTAATATATATTATAAAACCTAAATGTATAATAAAAGCAATATTTTGTAGTAAATACGTATCATCCTTTTTAACTCATTAGTGTGTACATTTCTTTATCATATGCTGAATTTTTTTAAATAGCTTAATGTATCCTTATTTTCTCTTGTCATTATGGATATACATAATTACTGCTATTTTGTGTTCTATTAAAAATGCAATAATAATATTACTGTGCAAATTATATTTTGAAACTTGCTGTAAATTTATTTGCAATTAAAATATATGTTTCAGGACAAGGTTTTTATTGTTAATAGTTTCATTAAATGTTAAGAACTTGCAAGATCTGTAACAAAAGGTTTTGAAACAAATTT